GCCCTCCGCTCCCAGGGCCCCGTCCCAGCAGGACAGCTGCAGAGGGGGCTGCAAGCCCTGGTCCCAGTGACACATTTACCAACAAGAAGTCCCTAACAGGCGTCACAGGGACAGAGCTGGGCGCCAACCTCATGGAAGAGTGCGCTCACTCACAGGCCCTGGACCAGGGGCAGGCAATCCAAGCACAGAAGCAGTTGTTTTATATTTAATTTACAAAAGAGACCCCAAAATAATAATAATAAACTACCCAGGAGCAGGGGAGTGGGCCATGCCCCTCTTCCTCTGGCAGGGACAGAAGGGGTCCCCCAAGGGACTGCCCCTCCCCCTTAGAACAGGGGGTGAGAGCGGATGGGGATCCCTCCAGGCATCCCAGGGGCTCTGCCCCCTCTGGGCTCATTCGTCCACCTTGTGCAGGCTCCTACATGCCTGGCAGAGCCCTTGTGGCAGAGGCCAGCTTGCCCGAAGCCAGGTGGGAGATCCCTACAAAGTCCAGGTGAGGGCTAGGGCTGCCGCGGCCAGCAGGCCAGTGAGGTGGGACCCAGCCCAGGCCCCCCTGGTACCCCCGCCTGCCCGCCCACGGTCCCACTGGCATTGCTCGCCGCCCCAGCCTAAGTAGCATTGGCATTGAAAGTGCTTCTGCAGGTGGTCGAGGTCGGCCCAGCTGAGCTCCCCCTCTGGCCGCAGCGGGGGCTCACCCGGCGTGTGGCTGGGCACTAGGCGGAAGCTGCTGGCGCTGAGGTGCAGAAAGGTGTTGGTGCTGGGGTCTCGGCGCACGCAGCGCCCGTGGCCGTGGCACTGGGCCCAGCTGCAGTAGTGGGCGGCCCAGGACACGTTGACGACGTAGGGGATCAGCACCCGCATCAGGTAGTCCTTGAGATACTGGCACGTCTCCTGGGGGCAGAGGCCAGGAATCAGGTCAGCTGCCTCCGCCCAGACCCAGACGGACGCTGTGCCCACGATGTCGTGCCCACACCTTCTTGAGCCGGTGACACACGTATACACGCGGTTGTGCCCGAGCCCTCCCTGTCCCTGCGCCTACTGAGAAGGGGTAGGGGCAGAGGCTGGAGCCTGCGGGGCAGCAGGGAAGGGTTCAGGACAGCACGTCCCCGTTCCTGGGAGCAGGGGAAGAGGCCTCGTCTTTTCTGTTGGGACCAGGGATGTCTTGGGTAGGAGACAGACAAGGGGGCCAGACTAGGTTTGCCCACCTTGAGGTTGGCAGCCAAAAGCCTGAACACTCACCCTGCTCCTGCAGAGCCTGCAGGCGGGAAGGCTGGGGGGGTCACTTACCATGCTGGTGGTGAAGCCTGCGTCGCCCCAGAGGATGACCCCGGCTGCGCCCAGGGCGGCGCTCTCGCCAATGGTGGAGATGAGATCCATCTGTGGGGACAGTGGTCACTGGGGGCTGAGGCTGCAGGGAGGAGGGCACACGGGTGGGCAGGCCCCTCCTGTTCTGACTTGGTGACCTTCCCCCAGCCCCGTCCTCCCCTCTCACTCTCAGACACGGGCCCCATTTCACTCTCTCTTAAGTGTTTAAGCCATTTCCGCCCCCTCTTTGGGCCTCCTTTCTGGAGCCTAGGATGTATCTACCAAGAGAGACCCCAAATCAGCTGCCCACGCCCACACCCAGGCCCCTGCTCTGTCCTGGGCTTCCTGGCAGACTTTGGGGTCGATTCTCAGCACGTCTGGGCCTTGATTTTCTCATCTGCAACATGGAGATAACGATGCTACCCTTTCACCAGGTTCTAGAGAGACTGAGGGGAGTGGAGGGGAGGTAGCCAGTGCAGGGGGGGCAGGAGGCCCTCGGGAACTCCAACTGCAGTGGCTCCCGAGGAGGAAGGCAGGGCCGGGGAGGTGCGTACCTGGCTAAGGCCCGTGAGACGGCGGCTGTAGGTGGGCCGCGTGAAGACGTAGACTGGGAGCGCGTGGCTGGGGTGGTGGGTGCGAGCGACACGGAGGGCCTCCTGGACGCGGAAGCTGACGAAGTTGCGGCCGTGGGCCGTGGAAGCCAGCGCCTCCTCCAGGTAGACGGAGGGGAAGAGGGCCGTGCTCTCGGCCCACAGCCAGGCCAGCTGGTCGTTTCGGGAGACCTCCACGTCGGGGCAGCGGCCGGTGTAGGTCTCCCAGTTCTGCACGTAGTCGTGGTTGTAACAGTCGGGGAAGAGGTAGAAGCCCCAGAGGTGCTGGGGCCGGAATCTCTTGGCGGAGCGCAGCGTCCTCAGCATGAACTCCCGAGCGCCGAACTCGAACTCGTACTGCGCCTGCTTGCCGACGCGGTCTGGCGGCCAGTCGGGGTGGCGGCTGGCCACCAACTGGCGCGACAGCTGGCGGTACACGTCCTTGTCCTGCCAGTTGCGCACCCACACGGGCCGCCAGTCCTCCCAGTCGATGACCGCCAGGCCTGCGGGCTCCTGCCGGCGGATGTAGTGCTCCACGCGCTCCTGCAGCATGTCCAGGTGCGCCCGCAGGACGCTGTCGTTCTGGGGCACCCCACCGTGCACCGGCTTCCCCTCCGAATCGAAGTAAGGGTACAGGCCTAGCCGCTCCCGGTAGAAGATGGTGATGTTCTGGTCCACGAAGCCCTCGTTAGGGGAGGCCTGCACGTCGAAGGCCTTCTCCTCCAGGTCCAGCGGCACCTTGAGGCGGGGGCCACAGTCCTGCGTGGGCACGTCCCATGCCACCACGAAGGGCCGGCCGGTGAAGATGGGCGTCGCTGTGGGCTTGAGCTCCTTGGCCCGTGCTACCGCCAACGCCAGGGCCAGGGCCAGGATGATGGCGGGGCTCAGGCCTGCCCACATGCTGGGGGCTGCAGGAAGCGGTGTCACCTGCCTGGCACCGGCTCAGGAGCTGAGGAAAGGGTGAGAGAGAGCAAGTCAGCCCAGAGAGCCTGGAGTGCGGCCGCTAGCCCATCCACCTGCCGAAGCCCACGCTGTCAGACAGGGACCCCGGCTGTCACAGGTCTGAGACCACAGGCCACCGCGGGGCAAGCACGACCCCGGGAGCTCACGGCAGGCGGTAAGCGGCGGCCTCGGCTGGGAAAGGACCTGTTCGGTCCGTGACCACTGAGAACGGGGCGAGTCGAGCTATGGACTCGCTGCCGAGGCACTCGGATGCCCGGCCCCCGCCCCCATCGCTTCGCAGCG